CGATGATCGCCCAAACTTGTGCATTCGTATTGACTCTAACGTTGGGTTAGTTTGCGAATCAGTGGCGCGATTGATCGGGTTCCAATCTGCTCTAGTTACAGCCTCAGGGCTGCACTGTGGTACAGCTGTAGAGTCTGCAAACGTGGGAGACAATCGATCTCACGCTTCATGCAAGGTAAACCTTGCAAAGGCAAAGCTAGCGACATGACTTCAAAGTGGTGGGCCAACTTGTTGGATGTCAGAATCCCTACCAGTAGAAAGATGGCTCGGTCGCAACCAAGAAAAGACACCCACGCCATCTCTTTGGGCCGGAAGGATTCAGTCCGCCGAGCATCCGTGCGTCCCTAGCCAATGAACAATCAGAACATCCTCATTTTCCCTCTGTCCATTATATCATAGCCCTTAAATCCCCTGCGATATTCTTTGCAGATCAATCATTGTATTTATGTAGTTGGAGACATCCCGGGTACCGGTGAACTTATTGGACCTCATGTAGGAGTATTTCGTTGGGTTCAAAGATTGGCGATAACTGATTTTATCCCAAGATCACGCATTTCTTGAGGCAGGACAATAGGCGGGCATCAGGAGTGGCACAAGAGGAACATCGGATCTGTCACGGGTAGCCTGGTCCATGGAAATGAAGTAAGCGAGCCATCTAGTAGTGATGCGCGATCCGAGGTTCCGAGGCGACACCTGAAGGATACTAAGTAGCAGTAGCCTGAATGAGTGGATGGACACGACACAGAGGGAACCGAGCGGAATCTCCCTCAGCCGCCCGGAAACTGATCCACGTGACACGACCAGCAAAAATAAGCGGCGGAGATAACAGCCGGCGATAATCTGTCACACAGTCGGTCTCGGCACATTCCGATGCGCGCAACTCAATTTTACTCGTATTCCCTTGCCTCTGCCTCGCCACCCGCCCATCTGAGATGCTTCATGGGGCTGGCTGTGCGTCCCATCTCCTAGCCCGAACAGATCGTCCCAATTATACCAACATAAACTGAAACCATTCCGACACCACTTTTTGTGTGCTTCATTTCAAGCGTGAACACTTCCACTACGCCATGGGTCTCACGGTGATGTCCTCACTCTAGTATCTAATATGCCACGTTCAGTTGGCAGGCCTTAACTATTCATATTACCGCTAAAGTATGGATCCTAGGGATGTTCTTCCTTTCCAGAACCATTCCTCCGGCCGAGGACCAGTCTATCTAGCTGAATCCAGTAGAGAGAAGCGGACACGATCCATTGGGCCCGAAACACCGACCGGGAGGCTCAACAGCAATAATAATCAAAGAGAAGACGGCTCGGACTCGGAGGGTGCTACTCCGGTGAAAAGAGAAGAAGGATATTCTATGCCGCCACTGTGATTTGTTGGTTGAGGTGGCGGGTACCTGCAGCACAGGCCGGTTCATTGTTCGCCCGCTCGCTTCTCAACAAGTATTGCAGAAAGTGGCCACGCACACCACGGCACATTCCTAGCGAGATTGGCCCCCCAGCAATTCCATGATCAACAGGACTATCAAGACATTAGAGGGGGTTTCGTATAAAAGTGCAATTAATCAATAATATTTGGTCTTTATCTACCGTGATAAAGCCAACGACAAAAATGCTTATCGACAGAAGCTACGACAATATGGCGATCTTCTGCACGATAGTGGAATGCTTGCTGCACTTTAGCTTTAAGCTCCTGCACCGGTGAGGCGACCGGCTGTTGTCTAGGCCCCAACCTGCCTAGCGGATCCAGCTTCCGGATAGTGGGCGATGTGAGGGAGTGCAATTTATCGTCACTAAATACTCCTTGGTCTAGTCTGGATGGATTGCCGAGCAAGTGAGGAACGACAATTAGTCAAACCACATGGTTGATAGATAGATATCACCACCCATCGACCTATCTGCCGAGTATCTCCTCGTTACCCACGCGGTTCTTCTGCGGGGAAGCGACCATCGGAGCTGGCAGGAGCTCCTGATGGCTGATGCCGTTCTGTCGGCAGACACGTCCGGACGGGGAATGGGATGCACCGCGTCGCATCTGGCGCTACAAGTAGACTAAGCGGGATCCGAGGGGCGCTGGTAGCGACGGCGCTGTGCTTGGCGGAGCCCATCCATGGTTTCCGTGTGTCATCTTAACCTTCATGATTGGAGCGGACAGTCCGCCATCGGGGGGATGACCAATTATTCATGGTCATCAACCTCGGATGCGATCCGATCAGTGAGTGTCCGGTGAGGAGATTGAAGAACCGTTGCTTGTCTCAAAACGGTAGAAACATACGATGGGCCCTTTTGGCTTGGATTTCCCCACAAGCCCGGCCTCTGAATCTGCGTTGCCTTCCACTTCCACTCAGGTTCAGCTCTCCAGTCAATTTGTTGTCCCCAGAATTCCCGGCTTGTCAACTCGTGCCTGCCCGAAACTCAATTTCGTCTGTGCCTTTCAAATCACCATATATTATCCGCAGACTTTTCCCGAATCTTCCTTTTATTCTCCCCCATCCCCCCAGCTCCTCTTCCCTTGCCTCCACTCTTCTCCTTCTTCTCTCTCCTCCTCCTCTCCTCATCTTCCTGTCTTCACCTCATCTTCTTCCTTTCCCGCCTCCCGCTCCTCCCCTTACCTTCCGCCTTTCAACACAGCCTGCACCCTTACACCTCACCACCATGGAGGCCGTTCACGACAGTCCCCCTCCCTACGCCACCGATGGCATTGACGAGAAGAAGGAGGATATCAGCCAGGTGGAGCAGAACCTCAAGCCGGGCCTGGAGGAGTCCGACGCTTTCGGTAATGAGGAGTTTGCGGAAATCAAGTACAAGACCTTGAAGTGGTGGTATGTATCCGCTCCCCCGCCTCCCACCATTTCTACGGAATTTTCTGCTAACACATTCACAACAGGCAATGTGGACTGCGTATGCTTTCTTCCTACCTCTTCTCTGCATCACAAACTCTAATCCTTCCGCAGTCATGATTTGCGAGTCTGTCTCACTGGGTGTGCTCTCGCTACCCGCCGCCGTTGCAACCCTGGGTTTCGTCCCGTAAGTCTAGCCGGATCGACGATGCAACCTCACAATCCGCTAACTCTCATCCTTCAGGGCCATCATCCTCATCGTTGGTCTCGGAATTCTCGCGACCTACACCGGTTACAACATTGGATTGTTCAGAGAACGCTACCCCCACATTCAGAACCTCGCCGATGCGGGAGAAATCCTGTTGGGCCCTTTTGGCCGTGAACTATTCGGCCTGGGCCAGTTCCTCTTTTGCATCTTCGTCATGGGCAGCCACCTCCTGACCTTCCGTGTCATGATGAACACCATCACCGACCATGGCACCTGCTCTATCGTCTTCAGTGTGGTTGGCATGGTCATTTCCATGGTCCTCTCCATTCCCCGCACCATGAAGGGCATGACCTGGATTTCCTTTGCCTGTGAGTACACTTCTCAATTGCCTGCGTACGAATCATGATCTGACTGGCATCTTGCCGTTTAGCCTTCCTCAGTATCTTCAGTGCTGTCATGATCACCATGATCGGTGTGGGTGTGGAGAAGCACCCCGGTCGCATCATCGAGGCCACTGTCGACACCACCCTCTACACGGCCTTCACCGCGGTCTCCAACATTGTCTTCGCCTACTGTGCGCACGTCGCTTTCTTTGGTCTTATCGCCGAGATGGAGCAGCCCAAGGACTTCAAGAAGTCGCTGTTTATGCTGCAGACCTTTGAAATCAGTCTGTACGTGACTGCTGCCTGCGTCATCTACTACTACGTCGGCAAGGATGTGCAATCTCCCGCTCTCAGCTCCGCTGGTCCTCTTCTGAAGAAGGTTGCCTATGGAATTGCCATTCCCACCGTAAGTAAACCAACTGATGAATTTGTTCGTTCCACGAACACTAACATCTCCGCAGATTGTCGGTGCCGGTGTCGTTAATGGCCACATTGGCTTGAAGTACATCTACTTCCGCACTTGCTCCAAGTCGGGTCTCATCCACAGCCGTAGCCGCCGCTCGGTCCTGGTCTGGATCGCCTTGGGCTTGGCCTGCTGGCTGGTTGCCTGGATTATCGCCGAGGCCATCCCTGTCTTCAGCGACCTCAACTCTCTGATTGTAAGTCACCTACTTCCCGGCCGCAGTTTTATCTCGTGCCGTCGCTAATGTCATGATTCAGAGCGCGCTCTTCGCTAGTTGGTTCAGTTATGGTCTCAGTGGTATCTACTGGCTCCACCTTAACTACGGCCAGTGGTTTGCCAGCCCCCGCAAGATCGCCCTGACCGTGCTGAATGCCGGTATTGCCGTGTTCGGTTTGGTATTGTGTGTCCTGGGTCTCTATGCCTCGGGTACAGCCATCCACGACGATACCGGCAACAGCAGTTTCACCTGTGCCAACACGGACAGCTGAATGTGCATCTATATATATAGACCTTTACATCATTAATGGCGTTTATGAGCGAATTCTTTTGCCGCGTGTCTGGGACCGCGGCAGATGACGGCGTGACGGGTTTATTTGCATGACGGACTAGCTAATGATTCATTCATGAGTACATAATATGTTACCATCTATCTTCCTATCTATTACTTCAAGGTTGTCCTCTGTAGTGGGGTCATCCGGTCGCAATTCCTTGTACCTTAAATCTACGGTGGGTTTGTAACCGCCTGTCTGAAGATTGACGCTCAGGACAGCCTACAATCCAAGCCAGAGGTTAAGCTTCCCTTGTATATGATCGAAAATTGAGTACTAGGTCTCAATATCCTACACTAACAGCAGACGGTTGATTGAGTGCTGGCGAGTATAATGGGAGGCGAGCTGGAATTAGTTATGCGTGCTGATTAAGCACCATCGACATAACTAGTTAGTTAACTAACCAGCACAGACACTGACATTTTGTGTTGGCTGTCATGCCTCAGGCATACAGGCAGCACCGTGCAATCTACCAACCGCTGGCAGCCGGCAATATCCAACCTTCCAACCTTCCAGTACTTCTCTTTCGGCCGTCTGCTATTGAGAACAAATGTTGCCATGACCACGCGTGCAGAGTTAGCTACCCAAGCTTGTGACATCTGCCGGAAGCGCAAGGTCAAATGCAATGTGACTTCGTCATCGGCTGATGCCCCTTCCAGATGTGGGCGCTGTGCTAGATTGGACCTGCCGTGCACCTTTCTATCTCCATCCCGGACGCGAGGCCCGAAGAAACGGTACGCTGCTCGAGTCTCCTTCTGCAGTGAGTGGTCATTGCTAACGTATACCCCAAGTTCACGTACAAGATCTCCGGCACAAACGCAGCTAGATGGAGAGAATGGGGAGGCCCGGGTTTTGGGTGCCATCAATTATCCCACGGATGATCTGTGCGATCGACACCTATTTTCCTGCATCATGCAGGACTATTTGGATTACCTGTATCCACTGATTCCAATAGTGCATCGGCCGTCGTTTCGACAGTCTTTGCAGGAGAACCATGATCGCGAGGACAGCGGATTCCTTGGGCTCGTCACCGCTATCGCTGCGGTGGTCATCGCCACAATGCCTAGCAGATTTCATTCCTATCGATGTGCGACCCCGCCCTTGAGGTTCACGTCACGAAGGGACATGGTCCGTCATTGCTATGACAGAATTTTGCGGCTGAGGGATTCGACCTACTTCGACCACATTAACTTTCAGAAGTTTGCCATCTCGTACTTGCTGTATGCTGCATTTCGGCAGTTGGGTGACCATAATTGGTCCCGTATGTTAGATGTGGAGGCAACACAACTTGCTCGCTTGTTAAACCTCCATCGTATCTCTGAATATGATGGGCTTAATTGCATCGAGACTCAACTGCGGAAGAAGGGCTTTTGGTTGATTTTCTACGGATTCGTGTAAGTGGGCATGACCCGGAGAGTAGCTGACTTTGCTCATTTCATCCAGCCATAATCAACTGCAGAATGTGCTGGGAGAGCGATTGTCATACCTGGACCCCATCCTTCTTCATTCCATTAATCCGGAAGAGCTCATGCCACTCGAAGTTGATGACGAGTTTATCTTCGAGAACGAGGTGCTTATGCCACCATCCCAAGCTCCATGCCTAGTAACGGGCTTTATCCTCCACTCTAAAGTGTTCTGGGCCGCGATCAGGAGCACCTGTCCAGAATCACCGGCTGGCCCATGTCCCTGCGTGAGGGCCCGCGATTCAGCCGTACAGATTTCTTACATCCAGGATCGTCTTCACAATTTACGGTTCTTACTGGATGACATCCCACCTCTCCTCCGGCCATGGCAGCCATCGGATACCGAGGCTATCGCTAACGGTGGGTGTACTGGTGTGACGGAGATGACGCAGTCACATTTTGCTTCTATGCGAGTAAACCTACATGTCACACACCTGTGGCTACAAAGCTTGCTTTTCGATCAGCTGGAGGCAGCGCAAGCGCACAAATCAGAGCCATCGTTAACATCTACCGACCATGCACAGCCAATGCTTCATGCAAAGGCGTTGTGGCTCCAGAGGGAGGATCTTTGTCGTCAACTATTCTGCATCCTATTCAGCCTGCCCCAGATCAACTTGGAAGCGAACGGTCTACATTTGGCGTACAAAGTCCGTGATATCGCGGCGGGCCTGCTGGTATGCCCATTCCATCCTGCTGGCCCGGAAGCGGAGCGAGCAACCGAGTACCTACGACAGTCAACCGACATCCTGTCCCGCATAGACAGTAGCGAAAGCATGGGCACAATGCATCTACAAACATGGATAGATACAGATCGAATAAAAGGAAGTTCATAATCGTGGCAGAGTGCTATTTCTTGCTATCCAGCCCCGCTCAGAGTCCCGACCAGAAAGTGGTCTCACTCAATTTAATGGAGTCCTCCAAGAACGTCCCACGGCTACTCGTGCCAAGCATGATTTGATATGTGCCACTGTGGCTGCACCAGCTACTGCTCTTCTCATCCCAGAAGCTTGTCGCGCGGATAAGATCCAGCGGGATCTGCACCACCTCTTCCGCACCTGGCGCTAACCAGACTTTTCGGAAACCCTTTAGCTCCTTCAGTGGCCGCTTGATTGGCGGCGAGACCGGGGCGACATACAACTGTATTACCTCTCCTCCAGCTCTGGATCCGGTATTACGCAATTTGCATGTGGCTTGCAGTGAACATGCCTCCCTTTTGAGGGACAGCCCCGATAGTTCGAATGTTGTGTATGAGAGACCATGGCCGAAAGGGAACAGCGGATCGACCTCAGCCTCGTCATAGAACCGGTAACCGACATATACGTCCTCACCATATAGGACTCTACCACCCTCTGATCGGAAGTTGAAATAGGTGGGGTTGTGTTTGACGTGGCGGGGGAACGTGAGTGGAAGTTTGCCAGACTAAGACATCCGAATGAGTTAGCAGCGCCAGGTCGGCTGGGAAGAAAAACTTACCGGATTCACGTCGCCGAAGATGACATCCGCAAGGCCGTTGCCAGTTTCGTTACCGCCGTACCAGGCGTGCAGCACTGCCTTTGCCTTCTGTATCCATGGCATCTCCACGGGAGTTCCGCTTTGCAGAACAACAACAGTGTCCGGATTCACCTCAAGTACACGAGATATCAACTCATCTGTATGTGGCGGCAGACTCATGTTTGTGCGATCCTCGCCCTCTGATTCCCATTCCGCACTCAGCCCAGCCACGAGTATGACCTGATCAACCGATGCAGCCAGCTGCACTGCCTCTTCGATGCCTGTAGAAGGCGAGAGCTGCTTACAGGCACCAAATCGGAAGCCACCGTGACCAAAGTCGACTACCCCGGGGACCTTAAACGTGCTGGTTTTAGCACATCCCCACTGCACATGGATCTTGTACTGTCGACCGGCCGTGAGCTCCAATGTGCCTCTTTCTTCCATGGTGCCGCTCCCAAGGAAGCTAGACCCCGGCCTTTGTACATCAGCGTTATTGACTAATAGGTTTCCATCCACATATAGCTTGCCCGTCCCTTGCACACAAAGGCCAAAATCGTATAGGCCGGATTCCTCTGGGACAAAGTATCCCTCCGCGTCTGCAAACCACACCGGTTGCAGCTCTGGGTGGTTGTAATCAAGGAAGAATACCATCGAGTCCGTCTCGTGTCGTTCCTCGAGTGGTACTCTGTTCGCTACGGTGGGAGGGTCATTGAAGATTCTCAAGGTAAACCCAGTAAGGCCATTCTGAGTCCGCAGGCGCGTCCCCAGCAAGGGCTGGTTTTGGTGTCCGTATATCCCCTGAGCGAACTCCACACCGCCGGAAGCTGAGTTCGAAATTCCCTCAAAGGGAGTTACAGCTTGGTAGGGATTGAGCGCTGCACTGCCCCCTCCACAGTAGGTAGCAATCTTGGAATTAGGGCCAATGATGGCTATTTTCTTGGTCCTGTCCAGGGGCAGAATGCTGTCATCGTTCTTGAGGAGGACAACTGCCTCTGAGGCGATCTTCCTTAGTAGCCGTCTATCCTCGGCACGGTTCAGCTGCAACTCCGGGGCACGCTCAGGAATACCTGATCGGCTGGCTTGCTGAACCAGACGCAACACAGCGCGAACACGGGCATTTACCGTTGCCGTGGGAATCTTGTTTGCGGTGATGGCATGTGACAGAGCACTGCCGCGCCATCTTGTCGGCCCTGGCATTTCGAGATCGAGTCCAGCGTTGATGGCCTCGGATGTGCTATATGTTCCAAACCTGCCAGCGAGTCAGCGACGAAAAGGGTTATACAAGCGTGGTCACAAAAATGGAATCTTACCAGTCGCTCATCAATAGACCCTCCCAGCCCCATTCTTCACGTAAGATGTCTTGAAGAAGTGTTGGACTCTCCGATGCATGAAGCCCGTTTACCTTGTTGTATGCCGTCATAATGGCTTCGGGCTTTCCCAGAGAAATTGCGATCATGAATGGCAGAAGGTAGATCTCCCTCAGCGCCCGGTCGGTGAGAATGGAATTGACGGCCATTCGCTCATGTTCCTGGTCATTGCATACGAAGTGTTTGAGCGTCGCGACGATGTTCTCCTCCTTCAAGCCTTTGCAATAATGGCCTGCTATGATTCCTGACAGCAGCGGGTCCTCAGAGAACGACTCGAATCCCCGTCCTCCTAGAGGACCTCGCTGGATATTTATCGTCGGCCCTAGAATAACATGGGCGCCTTTGGCCTTGGCCTCTGCCGCTAGCAGACGGCCAACCTGCACAGCGAGATCTTTATCAAATGTCGCTCCAATGGCCGTACCGCAGGGTAGACAAGCTGCTGGCACGCTGCCAAAGAAGCGGGTGCCACGGACGCCATTCGGGCCATCAGACAGGCGAATTGACGGGATCCCGAGCCGGGGAATTGGGACGGTGTGCCAGAAATCGTCACCTAGCCAGAGGCAGTCAGCTTTCGATCATGTTCAGGAAGCTGTGCGTCGCGGGCATACCCGTCAGCAGAGAAACTTTCTCATCTAGGGTCAGTTGCTTGATGAGCTCCTCAATATCGGCGTTTACGATTTGAACAAAGGACTTGTCCGTCTCGGCGGCGGCATGTACGCAAGGCATGATGCGTGCAGTCTGCTACAGCGTGTGGTTGGGGATGGTTTGTCGGGAGCTGAGACAGATGCTCACAGATTTCCACCTCCATCTTGTCGAGCCCTGGGCGCACCAACTAATTATGTTCTCGCAAACGTGCCCATGGACATCGCAGTGCGTCTTCGGGGGAGTACACGGGAGCTTGCACAGTGCCGACCGACACCAGCATGGATGGGGTGATCTCTGGGTCGACGGGCCAGCTCCACCAGCTCCGCGAATTCTGATTGATTCTTCAAAGGCCATTCAGACCCATTTGACTGGCTTCAGAGTTCCTCTAATTCCCCGTTTCTCCTTTTCTCCGTTTCTCCGTCTGTTCTTCCCCGACTCCTTGCCGTTGCCCTACCCCAACTTCCCCCAGTTCTCCACACTGTCCTCGTTGCCGTTTCCCAGATAACCGTGCGTCTGTGGATTAAGCACCATGATGAGGCGTCCAGCGTCTTTCGCGTCATGGGTATGGGTATAGCCGCCTCGCTACGATTGGCGGTTCAACATGGTTTGGTTCCGGATTATGTGCAGGGTACAAAGTTCGCTAATAGCATCAGCGGCTTCGTTCAGCAGCCGTCGTGTTCCAGAAAAGCCACACGAGACGTAGCTAGCGGGGTGCGAAGGAATAAACCGCCGACATATCGGCGCCTCTCAGGCCATCCTTGAAATAGCCTACGCTTCCTCGGTTTGCCTATGCCGAGTTTACTGTCTTCGTCAAAACGTCGAAACTCACAATGGGCATCAGCAAAGCAGACACATCGAGCAAGCATGCAGGAGAAGATCACCTCGCGGCGGTCCTCCCTTCAGGTCCTGCATGGTACAAGCAGCCTCATTTGGTGCGACTCAACCTTATCATCCTTTCATTAGTTATGTTCTCATCCGCCAATGGCTTTGACGGATCTCTCATGAACGGTCTTGAAGCCTTGAACCAGTGGAAAACCTTTATGAACAATCCTACTGGAGCAAAGCTGGGATGGCTGAATGCCATCTACTGGCTTGGCTGCGGAATTGGCTACCCAAGTGCATCCTGGATTGCCAATCGATATGGGCGCAAGCCAGGCGTCTACCTCGGATACCTCTTCTTGACGCTGGGCTGCGCTCTCCAGACTGCTGCCCCCAATGCAACCGCGTTTATGCTTGCTCGTCTCTTTCTGGGAGGCGCGTCTGCCCTGTTTGGCAATTCCGTTCCTTTGCTCATCAATGAGATTGCCTACCCGACTCACCGCAGCATTTTCAACTCGCTGTTCATGTCTGGGTGGTATGTCGGTGGGACAGTCGCTGCTTGGGTCGTCTTTGCCTCTCGTACCTACAGCTCCTCTTGGGCTTGGCGACTTCCTTCTGTCCTCCAGGCCCTAGTGCCTGTTATCGGATTACCAGGGTTCCTTCTGGCCCCGGAAAGCCCTCGCTGGCTGATCTCGGTAGGCCGCACCGAGGAGGCTCGGGCAATCCTTACGCGCTACCACGCTGCCGGCGACGAGAGCTCTCCCCTTGTGGCATATGAATTCTCCGAGATCACTTCGACCATCCATGCGGAGCAAGAAGCCCACAGCAGTGGCAGCTACATAGAGATGGTGAAGACACCGGGCAACCGATGGCGCCTGATGATCTCTATTACTTTGGGGCTATTCGCGCAGTGGACCGGCAACGGAGTGATCTCGTATTACCTGTCGCTCATCTTGGACTCGATCGGAATTACCGCTGTCCGTGACCAGACGCTCATCTCGGCCTGTCTGCAGATGTGGGATCTCATATTTGCTGTTTTAGGAGCTTTCCTGATCGATAACTTTGGTCGCCGTCCACTGTTCCTTTCTTCGGCGGGCATCATGTTCGTCAGCTACGTGCTGGTGACAGCGCTCTCAGGATCTTTCCAGACCACTAACAATTCGGCCACGGGGGCTGCTGTGATCCCGTTCCTTTTTATCTACTTTTCAGGATACTGCATTGCTTTGTTAGTACCACCACCACCAGCACTAGCTTCGTGTTTATGCTAATTTGCTCTAGGACACCATTCCTAACTTCGTACCCCTGCGAAATCTGGCCGTACCGACTACGATCCCGCGGTCTGACCGTGACCTGGGTGGCGACGATTAGCGGCATGTTCTTCAATACATTTGTGAATCCGATTGCTCTGGATGCGATTGGGTGGCGGTATTACATTGTGTTTATTGTGGTGCTGGTGCTGTTTGCAGTGACTGCGTTCTTCTTCTACCCAGAGACAA